TGCTGAGGAATCGAACCCAGGGCCTCAGGCATGCAAGGCAAGCGCTCTACCACTGAGACACCTTCCCAGCCCTCCATGACATTTTAAAAGATGATACTTCCCCTCCCCCAGAGCACCAACCATATTCCAAAAGACAAGAATCTATTTTATTCAGCAGTCTATCTTCAGCCCTGAGGATGGCGCGGTACATGATAGCAGACTCCTAATAAAGATTTTTCACATAGATGTAAATTGTCCTGTTGGTTGAGAGTTTTGGGTTCTTCTCCAGGTGCATACATATCACATGGCTGTAAGGCTTGGAAATGTGTTTTGAAGGAGAAACTCAAGCTGTCTTGTGCATGCAAGTTGGACGGCTCCTAGCCTAGATTTGAATCTAAATTCAGACACACACTGAAGACTGAAAGTGAGAGCTAGGTGGGGGAAAGAAGGTATTATTCAAAAAGTATTGGCTGGGCAATAATCTAATAACTGTAATGCTGTGTGACTATGGACACAGCACTGAACTTGGTTTGCCCTTGTATTATTCACCTGTAAAATTGAAAATTGGGCTACTTTGAAGATACTTTCAATATTTTTTATGACTGAATGTTTTTGGCCATCCAGCATTGTGTAATTGCAGGCAATTAAAAAATTCTAGAGTCAATTCTGGGATAGAGTGCAATTGTGAACTCTTTTGCTCCTATAAAGTATTTTAGTAAGAATTCAATTTCTAGTTACCCTGCAGAGTTTTGCATAATTAGATCACCGCACTCAGGCAACTATGAGGAATATTTAGACCTCTTCAGGCTATCCTAAATGTTGCATCTTTATTTGAAAGTCTAAAGTAGAAACCTTTGAAAGATTAGACTTACTGTCTGTTTTCAAAACCTGTTCAAAACCTTATAGAAGAATGCTTACCCAGCGATGTGTGTCTTCTTTCTGGAAGTGGGGTGCTCTGGTGTGATAAATCGCTGTCCTTCTCCAGCTTGGATGACTTTTTCTGAATCTTACTAGAGAAAAAAAAGGCAAAAACTCTATAACTTCACCCACATTAATTTCAGTTAGCTAAAGTAATGTATTAGGTGGCAGACTCCAGAGCTCTCTAAGGACTTGGAAATTTTTCATCTGTGCTCTAGTATAGCGAAGGAATTACTCACTATAACCCAATGAATATATACAGTCTCCTACCTGGTAAGTTTTTATTCAGAAATGATGGCCTCATTTGTTTTTTAATCGTATAGAAAAGAAATTTCTGAGAATTAGACCTAAAGTTGCTGCTTATTATTATTATTTCTTCAAAATGTTGAGGAATCCTCAATGAGATGAAAATTGAGAATGGGTTAGAGACAGGCCAAAGTGTCATTTCTTGTCAATCACAAAAGGAAAACACGTTTCTCACTTAAAATGGTACATGGCATTCTGATGATTTTCATAGTTAACTAGTACTTGTAAGGTAAAAACTCAAGGAAGACATAAAAGAGCAAAAGTTTATTGAGTATCTAGGAACCATGATTAGTGATATCATAGGTGGCACGGCAGCAGTAGAAAGGAAGAAGATTCAAACAGATGGTCAATGTACCACATGTAGAAAGCAACAATACACACCATGGTACCAAGATGCCCTGGGCAGTATAATCACGATGGGTTTGGGGAGAAAATATTTACTATATTACTTCCCACAATTTACTAATCATCTGTATTTTAAAATCTTCGTGTTAAAAACTTCTATATTACTATAGTATTATTTCCATATATTATACTATCCTATACTATATTACCTCTCACAATTTATTAACCATCTCTATTGTAAAACCATCATATTTAAGGAATAATTTCCTATCAAGTTGATATCATTAAAATGGAGATAATTATATTTCCTTGAAAATTGGATGCACCCAAGACTAAGTGCCTAAAATCAATGTGTGTAACTACACAAATTTAGTCAGTATGAATATCTGAGTGTAGATAATTACTAGAGTTCTGGAAAGCTGGTAGGTTTTGTGTACCTGTTTGAAAAAAATCATAATTAAGATATATAAAGATGACAAGAAGTTCTATTTACCACTGTGGTTCAATGCAACTTCTGCTTTAGAAACGAGATCTTTGTGCTTTATAATTGGAAAAAAATATGTTTACTGGGTTTTCCCCTCTCCATGTATTCTTTTCTTATGAAAAAAATGATAGGAAGAAGTAATATTCGTTTCCATTCCCTAGTGTTTTTCCAATATTCTCCTTAAAATGTACAGGTTGCTCTGAAAGTCCTGCATTCTTAATGTACTTTTGAATTATTCATGACCGTGACTGTATTCCCCTAAATCTTTTTACATTCCTTATGCTGGCTTTGTGGATGGGAAAACCATTCAGATAAAATAAGAACTGACCTGAACCTTCTCCCTTCTCTGAAAAGGAAGTCTGAGAAAGTTTGAGAAACTTGGGTTGACTTTTCTTTTCCTTGACACTTTTCCCCCACCAGTTCAGGTAGTGATGGTGTAAGGAAGGCAACCGAATGTCAATACATTTTGAAAACAAAGTGAAAAAGCAAACAAACCCTACCTTCATAAAAATTTCACTTTCCCAGGGATAGTAAGAAAAAACAAAGGGAGAATGACAAAGATCAAAATATCAATGAAGGAACACGAGAAGAAAGACTGAATAATAAATGGGAATGAGGAAGGAACATGTAAGACAGGAAGAAGGGGGACATTGAAAACAAAACAAAAATGTGCTATTGGTTGGAGAGAAAAAGGCTGCATGTGCTCCTTTGAAGACACTCTCCCTACCTTCTCGCCTACATCAATCAACCTTCTCTTATCAGAAGTCATTAAACATCTAAATAGGATGGCGGTTGGCTCAGCAGTAAAGCCTGTGATCAAGACAAGGACTCATGAGGCTACCTTTGTAGGTGGACCTCCTAGTAACAAGCTGTCCACATCCTTTAAGTGGAAATGAGAGTTGAGATATCATCTGTGTTTTGCTTTTCCTCTTTCCTAAAAATTTCCCCAATCTCCTTATGCATTTAGAAGGCTTGATATAATGTCAGGCCTCCACTCCAGTTGGTTATAAAACCTGGTTGCTTTAAATAAAATAAAACCCACAATGTAAATCCATAACAGAGAACATGTGTAAAGAGGTGAATCAACACTGTAAGTTGAAATGCAAATGAATTCCCACAAAGACAATTAATTCTACTGTCTCTCCTTTTAGAGTTACTACAAGAGAGCAAAAAGGAAGCCAGTCCTGTTGAGTGTATGATGGTGTTTTCTGGGCTTTCTAATGAGTGTGATCATGCTGACAAAGCACTGCATAAACAAGTCATCCTTCTGTTATTTAGTACAATCACTAAGTATACATTTATTTACTTCCATAGGTAACTTCTCTCACAAGTTCTTTATTCTGAGAGTGGGCACTGTCAAATGAAATCTTTAAATTCTCATCTTCCAGCACAGTACTAAACTATACTATCTGATTGATGTCTGGCTAAAGGAAAGAGCCAATATTGCTGAGATGTGAGCAAAAGAACTTTGGATTTGAAAATGCCTTTTAGAATTTCAGCTCAATCTCCTCCTAAACCATTCTCTACCTCATGTGCACATTGTAACATTGCTCTGCCTGTAGCATAAGATGTGTAAACCCATGGTCTGTGTGGGTCCTGTCTCTACTGGAAATCAGCTTTTTGCCAACATCCTCACAAAAGAAGATAGTTTACAGATACCAAGTGATAGATCACATATTTTGTAAACATGGAATGTGAAAACATCACCCAGGGGTTTGTAACTGTGTCTTCACTTTATAGGTTTATTGCATTTCATTACGTTTTTATGAAAGCAATTTTCTATTTGTAGTGATAACCAATCTTCCCCTTCTTATCCTGAAAGATTCTTGAGTCTACAGTACAGTGTCCTGACAGATGGTCGGATAGTGAGCACATGACAAGCACTGAGTACTTGATAATAAGTAATGTCACTTGGAGCAACATATAGCTGAGGAAGCATCTTTATAAAATGTCCTTAGCCAGACTCTGAAAGTATCCTTGGAAAAGAGAATAGCCAGGGTATACGCTTACATCGCACCTCCATTATTCATTCACTAACTCACCAACACTTATTCAGTTCCTACCACAATGGGAAAACCAAATGAGAAAGCCAGGGACTGACAACAAAATATTAAAGGTGAGATCAATCTCACCCAATTTATCACTCTCTCATCATCATCTTGACCCCTTTCTTAGAACCATTTCAAAGATTTCAATGTTCTATTTTTATATATGCCCACTCAAAGTGCATCAAACATATTCGTCCTCATTAACATTCTCAATTTGTCCTCACCCACGCAGAGCCTGGCATCTATTCCTGAACAGAGCCTGTTAGATTTGCTTGATATTCAGTGTGTGTGTGTGTGTGTGAGTGTGTGTGTGTGTGTGTGTGTGTGTGTGTGTGTGTGTGTGGTGTATATTAAGTATACTTGAATATATTCTATTTTAATAAGAATTACTCTTCTATTGCTCTCCTCTTCATTTCTCCATTCCCTCTACCCTTATTGTTTAATAGCACTTGGTGAGATTCCTTATGCAATCTTCATATATGTACGTAGTGTACTTTGCTATTAGTCTCCCTCCAGTATACTTGTTCCCTCTTGTTCCTCTCTTTTCTTCCCAGTCTCATAGTTAAGAATCATTATATATAATAAAATTGTTATATAATAACATTATGACATATGTGTGTACATATGACATATTCACAGTACTTTTATAAATATGTATCTCTTTCAGGCTTAGATTCCACAGCTTTTATTGGAATGAGCAGAATGCACAGTTCCATGGAGTTTGCTAAGGATTTCTCTTCCAAGATGGTGGAGACATAAACTCCTCCTCTGTGGTTATCATGGGGCTCCATTTGGAATGGAATACTGTAAGGGAAATAAGCTTCAGAATTGTACTATGCTCTGAGGAAAACTAAGCCCAAAATAGATGTGACTTCTCAGACATCTACTAACATTTGCATCTGGGAGATGTCACATTTATATGTGTCATGGTAGTGGTAGAATTTATGCCCTTATCTAGGGCGTCAAGTATTTCCTGTGAGCGGGAAAGACTACCTGTCTCAGGGTATATCTGTGTGCACTGTGGCACATTTTGTCTATAAAAAGAACTCCTATGAGGAAAGAGACATACGGCAAAGAAAATTCTGGAAAGAAAATTCTGACATTTGTTTTTTTGTCGCTACGGTTCAGTTAAATTTTACACGCATTTTTTTCTCTTTTCCTTGGCATTATAATTATACATAGCAGCATCTGGAAAGAAGAGGTAAAGAAAATGGAAAGAAGGGAATGTTCTTGGCCACTATTGCTCTCAGTCCCACATGTCATTCATCATTGACTTTTAACTACAAATGGGATTGAGGAGAGGGTTCGGTCATCGAGGCACTCTCGGTGATTGGATGCAGTCATCCTGTCTATCCTCAAGCAGAAGTCACCTGCAGGACAACTTGAATTGTTTTAATTATCTCCTTGTATTTCATCTTGACCTTCCATCTCCAAGGGTCATCGTGATTTAGCTACACACCACGCTTTTTTTCATTTTCAAAACCTATCTGTCTTCTAAGATATCCCAGTTACAATCAAGAATTAGAAATAGCTTGTCCTTCTACATTCTTATGAAGGGCTTTGGAGTTATAATATGTACCGAGATTAAGCACATTTCTAAAAACTTTTAAAGGCACTCTATGGGTAGGTGAGGAAATGTTTTTCGGGTAGATGTGTATCAGAAGCATGTGGGGCGGGAAAAGGAGATAGCATGACTGTGACAGATTACATTCTACCAGCCATGAAACAGGCAGCTTCACTTGGCAACACTGCAAGAAAATCTGTCATTTCTTTAGGACAGAAGCAAAGCTACCTGCCAAGTTCTCTATGCAGACTGTGTAGGTGCCTCTTTCTGTTTTTTTCTTTCACTAAGTCCTGAGATTCTTCTTTATGGCATATCATAGATACATCTTCGCCTAATCTGGACATTACATCTTATCTGTCCTTAATGACCATACTCCTATTCTGTTTTCCTTGTCTTGTTCCTCTTCCTCCTTACCCTCTTTCTACTTTTTCTTCTGCTGTGTTGAACCCAGGGCCTTGCATGTGCTGGGCATGCACTGATCTACATGTTCATCCCCTGATTACATCCTAAAAGACCTCTGGGAGGATTCTCCCAGCATCTCTTCTCCCAATCCTACTTCTGCTCCAATATTAAACCTGCCGGTAAGATCCATATTACTCAGGCACAGACAATGTCTTATGGAACCTGTGAAACTATTCAGCATTTGTGTCCAATGTTTTGATCACAGTGAGAACTAAACAAATACTCATCATGCCTACCATTTATATGCAGTGATTTAATTCCCCCTCCCTCCTCTCTCCCTCCCATTAGGTCGTGAATTCTCATGGGGTAAGGAATGTGCCTTATTCATTTTGGTGTCTAGAATGGCTCACATAGCAAGAGTCTCCATGTGTGTACATTGTATATGCTCTATGTATTCTTAATAAATGACTGAATAATTTGGCTTACAAGGCAGTTAAAACAATCTCCCAGGTGGTCTTGGCTAAGAGAATTTTAACCTTTCTCCTTTTTTTTTGCACTAATGCTAGTCTCATTTAGAACAACAAGACAGCCTTACATTCAAATGAAGTGATTCCATATGCACTTGGTTTGTATTTCCAATATTAGCTTTAAGTCCATTTCTAAAGTAATCTATAATGTTTCAATATTAACAAAATATCTTTGGCACTTTTAAATTATTCATGAAAAAAATTGGATGAGCTTTTATTTATACGTCTGTAGGAGGAATCCAATGGAAGAAGAGGTATGAATTTAGAAACCATGGGTCATGAATAACTGTCAACAGGAAACAAATCCACTGAGACCATCCCTCACCCCCAGGATCTGTAGGAATGCAGAATCACTCCTCTCTATAATGACCCTCTGAGCTCCAGGGGATGATCTCTGTTCTTTGCCAACTGTGTGAGCAATGGCACAGGTAGAGGCCCCCACAGTCTGATATATTCTGAGAGGCATTCCAAGGGAGGGAGGATGAGGCTAACTTTTGTGATGTCAGACCATCCATTGAGCAGAAGAGCAAGAAAACTGTAAATGTTATCATTTCTTTTTGTTTTTTTTTTTCCAGACAGCTAGTTAGAGTTGATGTTGAGTTCAGGGTTGGACTTTTTTTAAGTCCCTTATTCTGAAAGTAATGCCTAGTGAAGTATGAATTTAATAACAGAAGGTTGGTGGCAAAAACAAACTCACATCAAAACACTTGGCAACTGGCCAGCAAGTAGTAACTGCTATATGAGCATTTCATTCAGAAAAGCATCCTATTAAAGGAAACATGGAAGGCTCTTTTGATGAGACCAAAGGTGGTGTTTTGTTTCCTGACTGGCAAAACAGAAAAGGAAGACTTTTCTGTCTCAGTAAGGCTATGTTGTTGAATCTTCCTTCACCAAAACGTAGCAAATTAGTAGCATAGTTTACCCAGTAATCATGTGCCAGTTTCATTGCACAGTTACAAAAAGCACAAAACTTAATAGCATGATGGGGGATATCATTAATATGATTTTATTATTGTACATAATTTTCTAAATTAAGCTCCAATTAGTAGTTCAGAAAATTATTGAATATGTAGCAATATATACCCCAAGCTAGACAAACCACCGATAGTTAGAATGTAGCTAAGAAAAGCATGCATAGCCATCTATCAGTTTGCCCAACTCTGTTTTGTTCTATATATATCATATAGAAAAACTACACCTTTCAGGGAAGTAGATTTGCATAATTCTCAGATATGTTAACAATTTCCTTCTAGTGAAGCCTTCCTTGGTGAAGTAGTGGCAGAGACAGGGCATGGAGAGAATATATAAAGAAGAAAGCCCCAAATGGAATCCAAATTGTAAATTATATAAATAAATATTTTCTTTATCTCTTTGAATGTTTGGTTCACAAAATGTCTGTTCCAACAAAGGAGGGAGTAACAATGCCTGACAAGAAATGTACTCTTTACCTTACTGATGTAACTGTAACCTCTCTATATAGCACCTTTACAAGAAAATAAAATTTTTAAAAATGTCAGTTCCAAGTAAACCCCTTCATAACGTTTTTCTTGTTACCACTGCTGAAACCTCTCTCTCTCTTTCTCTCTCTGTCTGTCTCTCTGTCTCTCTCTGTTTCTCTGTTTCTCTGTCTCTGTCTCTGTCTCTGTCTGTCTCTCTCTCTCTCTCTCCACCAAGTAGGGAGCGTATGTTGTATAGCTATCCTCTGGAGATTATTCTTTTGTCCTGGCTATTATTGGTTTAATATTTTTTTCACCTGAGAGAACACTGGCATAAGTCATGGTTAATCTAGCACTCACGTAGGGACACAGACCAACAGGTCTGGATCACCAGGCAATGCCATCCTTCCCTTCATCTCACCATTACACCATTGTACAATAGTGGACAAAGTCTCTAAAGATTGCTTTGGTCTCCATACAGAAATGTACAGTAGTACACATTGTATGTAAGCATACATAAGCATCTAGTAACCATATGTCATGGCTTGCTTTAAACTTCTTAATAGTTTCTCAAAATACAAATCCTCTACTTTTCCTTTAATGGTTGATTCTGTATGCTCTACCTCCTATAATCCTTTTCAACACGGCCCATGCACTTTTACCATCTTTCATTGTGTTTCAGTCATAATAGCTGGCTTTCTGCTCTCAGTATTCAAGATTTCCTCACCTCAATTCTCTACCTGCAGCATTCTTTTCCAGATATTCACACACTACTACTCATCTTTGTTGGTCAGAGATCTTCCCTTGCCACTCTATTAAATCCCTATCTTTCAACTTCTACCTCTTAACCTCCTTTATCTTCTCACAAGTATGCTTATGATCATGTTATTATGCTAATTATTTGCTTCCTTCCTTGCAACAGAATGCAAGTAACAGAAGGGAGAGACTTTGTTTTTCATTTCTGTATCACAGTATGTGGAATGTTGTTTGATACTTACAAGTATTGGAGTCTTTATTTCTTGAATAAGTTAATAAGTGAATAAATGAACATCAGAGTTGCTTATTAAGACAACAAACCCAGTGTGAATTAGCAACTCAACATTTATGTATCCCAAGGTGTTTCCTATGACAGTTCTTGAGATGTGTATATTTCATGCTAAACAGGTGATCTCCTTTAAAATATCACCCATACTACTTGGTGAGCAAAGCCATCCTAAATGATGTGAAAGGAAAAGTTGTGCTATAGCACAAGGAATTTAATATTCAGATTTGGAAACCAAATATCTCTGGTTATGCATGAACACAATCTTTTCTTGAGAGATGCTTTAAAATAAAACTCTCTAACAGAGTTATCTCACAATTGAATCAAAATTACAATATTCTTCTCAGTTCTGTGGGCAGGTAGGCTCATGGGAATGATTTTACATTTAGAATTCCAGAAAGAAATATTGAGGTTGTAAATGGTCAGGTTGTAAATGATCTGAATTCTCTATCTTCATTCTTCAGCTGCTTCTCACACCATAAAACAGACACACATTAACCCCATTAAGTATCTATTGTCTAATTATCCATATTTTCAACTTTATTACCTTGAATTTTGAGACCCTTCAAATTTCCTGTTTGCACTACTTGATTTTTACTTTATCTAGAAGTGTAAAATAGAGCAATATAAACACCTCAGTCTTCATGGACATGGTATCTCTGATACTGATGTCATTCTTGTGACTGAATCTCAGAGCAATGGGTCACCAACATGGTGTGACAGTGCAGAAGAAGAATTGCCTTGGCCACTTGTCTTAAAAAGCAACATTTGACCAATTCAAGCAAAAGACCATCTCACAGAATCTTAGTGATTTCAACTTGTACTCGCCTTGTTCCTTCCTGTTTATACCATCACACATGTAGACACAGAGATTACAGTTGTGACTTTTTACAGCATAGTTATAGTGGTAGTCATAAGGAGAGCAGACTTCATCCCTCAGCAAAACCCAGTATACATGAGAAGAGTCTCTTACCTGTCTTTAAATAATGCCTCATTAACCCCTTTTCTCCGAAGCAGATCCAGCGGCCTGTAGGGTGTGTCTTTGCATTTAGAGTCTGTGTCACAAAGCAGTGTTTGCAAGAATGGGAAGAATCCAGTGCTAGGAAGATTCCGAGGTGCAAGGTAACCTGAAATTAAAATAATAATAATAATTACATCATTGGGGCTGGGAAGGTGGCTCAGTGGTAGAGTGCTTGCCTTGAATGTATGAGGCCCTGGGTTCGATTCCTCAGCACCACATAAGCAGAAAAAGC